GGAGTGATACGTACTGTGCTTCAACATAATATTACTGTATTGTGTGTGTTTAACCTCTTTTTAAGTTTTGTGGATATTATACATGGTTATGCTGAGGATATGTCGGCCAGTTTCCACTGGAAATGCCTTTTGGTTAAACTGTCAGCAGGAATTTGCACTGTTAAATTTGTATATAACTTTAATACACATAAAAACACAGCTGCTTGTTTAAGTGAAAATACGTTGATGTTTGTTTTGCACTAATAAAGTTGTGGAGTTGTAAAGTATTTTGTCTAGTGTTAATTATATCGTCAGTTATATCGTTATCGCAAATTTTCAAATGTATATCGTGATAAATATTTTTGGTCCTATCACTATAGAAGCCAACACGAGTCGGTTGTTTCTTCTGGAACTCGGCGTATTATATCTGAGCAGTTGCCTGTTAGACACTCACGTAAGGTCTCAATTAAAGACCAGTGTTTCATTTTGCTTCAGAAGCAGAGCTGTAGTTGAAACAACCTGCAGTCACCCAGACTGGTCGTTGGAAGGAAGTAAACAGACGATTTCGCGCGTGTCACGTCCTGGATATCTGGCCCTGATAGCCGTGAGTGGTCATGCCTGCTCCAGCTAAATATAGCAGCGCTTGCCTACACGAGGCAGCAGTTTGTGCCCGTCCACCCTCCTCTTCCTCCTCCAGTCACACAGCAGCAGCTTCAGTCTGTTTTCTCCTTCTTCATGTCTGTTCTCAAATAATCCGAATTATAAACATGGACTAGCAGCGAGCCGCGTCTTTTTATGATTACAATTCTCTTTTAAACGTAACATTAAATGTTAATAACTCACAAAGTTCGTGCCGAGCAGCTTTTCTTTATTTCACTTCTGTGCTTCAAAAATCCATTGAGTCATTTATTCCTGACCTTTTATTCCTGGATGGTCAGCTAATGTTCACAAAAGTTAAAAACACTGTTTGTTTACTTTAGTTGGTGTAATTATACCAACTAATAGAGCTGTTTATACTAAAATAATACTAATAATAGGTTTATTCGCCTCATGTGGCTTCAAACTTGATGAACTTGATGTTTGAGGACAGATTTTATTGTTTAAATTGGGACTTCAACATTGGAGAGAAATGTGCTGGTGCAGTCTTTGTGTCCAGCTCTCAGCTGAAGGCCTCTGTAACTAAGAGCAGCTTTATCTACTCTGCCTTCTGTCCCACGATATCTTCTTTATAAGTTAAGTTTTCAGCCCTCACGACACGTCTCTGTTAGACCACGTCCTTACAAGTGATGACTCAATCGCAGCTGCAAGGGCTGCAGTTGGTGTAAGACTTTGTTTCCTGACAGCAAACACAGAACATATGCTCAAAAAGCTTATTAGCTTACATACTGCTACCTGTGCATATTTCCTAACATACATATTCTTCAGTTTGTGATTGTAAATCAAAACAAAGAGCCAGTAAGTCGAGTGGATTGTAGTTCAGACCTCTGGTTGCTTTGTTCCTGGCGTCTCTGCGTCTCTGTGGCTTCAGAGATGTTGACGCTGCAAACCGTGGCGTTGGTTTACCTCCTGCTCGTGTCCTGTCAGCAGGGATGAAATTACAGCTGTAGGTCTCTCTGTTATCCCCAATGATCCGGCCTCGCCGTCCTGCCGACGTTTGCCCTCCTCGCGGTGCGATAGTCGTGACTCAGTCTTTCCCGCAGGATGGGTTTTTAAACTCTTTCCTGAATCTAGGAACCTCGTGGCTTCACGTTCCAAAGTTGAGCTGGAAAGAAATTCACTACCTCGCACGAAGCGCGATCAAAACCCAGCAACACCTTTTTTCTACTCATATAATTAAGACAAGACTTTACAAGGTTTTCCCCTCATAAATGTGTCAGTCTGAATTTTTATCTGATGTGTTTGTTTTTCTTTTTTTAATTATAAATTGCCTGTTGACTTCCCAGACTTTCAAACTATGATCTGAGGAGTCGTCCAGTAGTACGCCAATGGTTTGAAAAACTCCCAAACAGACCAGTTTAATTGTTTTTAGCCCTTCAAGATGACAGTTCAGTGTTTTCTGATTAATTTTGAATCTCCAAGAGTTCATTCCCAAAGTAAACACAGATTAGAAATGTAGGTTATTGTGTTTATGTGTTTCTCCTAGCAACCAAAAATCTATTGACTGTGGAGGTGGAGTTCTTGTACGGTGAGGCTGTGGTAGGGAAACTAGGCAGGCGCTGAAGTGGCTAATCTCATTAGCTGACTGACGCCAGGGTCCGGTCAGCATTGTGTCTGCTGGCTCAGATCCAGGTGTCATCAAGGTAAATCCAGGTAAATCCAGGTAACCTACCTGGCTAATCACCAGCAGGGCCTGCTGCAGTGATTTCTCAGTGCCGTGTGTTTGAGGTGAATCCTTAAAAACAGACGTTTTGGTGAAGCTTTTATTTGTTTTTAAGTCAAAGATTGTTAATCAGGTGGCTTTTTGTGTCTTTGTTTTCTTTGCAGGTCATCTGGTGAAGACTCCCGAAGCTTTTAGGTGGAGGCGTGGCAGACAGCGCCGCCCAGGCGTGCAGAGTGGGACCCCTTCCCGTCTCACATAACCGACGACCAGCTTCCCGAGGCCGCCGCCATCATCCCCAGATGGACTTCAGACTCTGAGAAAAGAGCGAGGCAGTCGGGACCGAAATCAAGCGAAGGAGAGGAGGCGCAGGGGGAGGAGCACACGCTCGCTGGAGCAGGAAAGGGAGGGCATTGGTAGGGAGCGGAGAGGACACTGGGCTCCGCCACGATGTCGTCAAATAGGACCCAGAACCCACACGGACTGAAACAGATAGGCCTGGACCAGATATGGGACGACCTGCGGGCTGGCATCCAGCAGGTGTACACGCGGCAAAGCATGGCCAAGTCACGCTACATGGAACTCTACACGTATCCTGTGTGACTGCTGCTGAGTGTGTGTGCGATCAAACCAGAAGTGTGATAAACCAGTGTGTTACTGAGCAAAAGGCAGGAAGGGCGTTTAGGAGCAGCACAGTCAGTAAGCATTCGGAGTAGCACTCTGACACTGGCGTAACAGGATCTATCTAGAGGCAGTAAAGCTGGAGATTTCCGTAGGTGTGGAAGGATTATTCATGGTTGGCTTCAGCTGCTCCGGATTGGCTCTGGCCTGCTCAGGATCTTAGGTCCTCTCTTGGCAGGACGCGGCCGTCAGCTTGTAGTCGCTCCAGTTTGCTGCCGTGCTGTGTTTGCTGCAGGTGGAGGCTCGACGGCAGTTTTTGGTCAGAAACGCCTCCTAGTCTGTCTCTGACTCCCCTCCAACCCCCACCACCCTCTCCTCTTTCTTTAAAATACATATTTATTAGTTTTATTTACAGGAAATCGCCTGTACAAAGCCACAGGTCCAGTAACTGTGATGTTTAACAATAATTGTGTTAAATAATCAGGTTTCTGTCTTTACCTGACACTATAAAGCGCCTCGAGGCAGCTGTTGTTGTGATTTGGCACTTTAAAAACAAAATGCAGATGAAAAATTGAATTACATTATTAACCAAAATCAGCCTGATTAGGATTTTTGCTTCATTCAAGCAGCCATAACTTCTGTTTTATTGCCTCTAATGATTAATGTGGCTGCCTTAGTGCTAAACGTTAACAACCTAACAGCAAATGTTCCGTGTGTGTGTTTGTTTCAGATGGTTAATCTCACTAACGTGTTACTTCCTGTTCTCTGAAGCACAAACTTTTTTTTCTAGTCGTTTGTTCCATTAATGAGTTTCACACACGGAGCAAACAGGAAGCAAACCTCTGATTCAGAGCAGTGTTTGTGTGGTTTAAGAAACTGTGTTTGAAAGAGTTTCACTTTCTGATGAAGACGTTTGGCTCCGTTAACTCTTTATTAGACGCTCGGTTATCCAGACGTACAATGAACTGTGAGACTGAATAGAAAATAAGAAGATTTGGTTTATTTTTTTCCAAACGTTGAGAAGTTTCTTACAAAGCAGCCAAGAAACAAACCGTAAACAAGGCAGACGCTGTACGAGTGCCTGAACAGCTGAGATAGGTGGAGTATATTCATCAGCCTGCAGTGATTTCATTTTCAGAGACACTAAAGGGAAGAACATGGAGATTTCTTAATCTCCTGCCATAAATAGAAAAACCATCAACATGTCTTCAGTGGTAATCTCGTGGCATCACTGCTTCAGCTCTTCTGACGTTCTCACACAGGTTTTGGTTTCTAAAGGCAAACAGACGCTGAGAGTTAAGAGTCCAATGATCAGATGTTGACGTTGGCGTTCGTTACGATGTGCCGCGTTCTGAGTGACCGACTGTTTGGAGGTTTGGTGACTCTCATACAAACACATGAGCACAGGGAACATGTAGGATGAAGTTCACGTTGTTCTCAGTAGAAGTTCATGGTGGGCGGAGCCAAACAGACCTTCAGGGAAACGAATATCTGAGCTTGACAACACGAGGTTCGTCTTTGATATGCTGCTGCAGGGTTTGGATTACTCACTGACCCTGAGCTTGATGTTCACACTGTAATCTTACCTCCACAGATTCTTTTCTCCAACCTTTGTTTTAAAAATTGGTTTCAAAAAGCTTAATGATGTTTGTCTGTGTAAAAGAAAAGGTTTAACTCCATAAAATGCGTCTGCAGGAGACGTGACGTGAGCGTAAAGTCTGTAGAGCCGATTATCCCCTCGTGCACCTTTCCTGCTAAAGGTTGCACGTTTCCCTGAAGTATGAAATAAAATCCACGCGGCCGTGAAAGCTCAAAGCTGCGGTGGCGTCCCTGCAGACGTCCGGGTTTAAACTGGGCTCTGTGCAAACGTGCTGTGATTTCATGCATAAACGAGAGAACGACAGCCGAGGACATTCCTCGCATGCTTGCTCTTGACGTTACGAGCAGCCAGATGTGAGGAATGCAGCGGTTACCCTGATGTGACGTGTGCACCTTAACCTTCCATCAGACATGTATATAACTATTGCACCAGCGTCCACCAGTCCAGCCAGGGCCGGGGCTCCGTGCCTCCAGCGAAGCCCTCCAAAAAGTCCACCACTCCGGGCGGGGCTCAGTTCGTAGGCCTGGAGCTCTACAAGCGGCTCAAGGAGTTCCTGAAGAACTACCTGACGAGCCTACTCAAGGTGAGTCCGCGGTTACCGGTCGCAGCCTCGCCGAGCGCGCCACGGACACCTTTCAACTCCTCCTCCCTTTGCTTTCCGCGTTATCGTCCGCAGGATGGCGAGGATCTGATGGACGAGTGCGTGTTGAAGTTTTACACCCAGCAGTGGGAGGACTACCGTTTCTCCAGTAAGGTCCTTAACGGGATCTGCGCCTACCTCAACCGCCACTGGGTCAGACGAGAGTGTGACGAGGGACGCAAGGGCATCTACGAGATCTACTCGGTAAGTCTGACAGCTCCTTTATGGCCACAGAGTAAAAATGTAGTTCCAGCAGGAAGAAGGCCTTAAGAAGCCAAACAAGCTTTACTTGACCAGGTCGCAGCAGGAACAGCTTCATAGCAAACAAACTGTTTTATTAAACTTGTGCTTCTCCTCTTTCACTCCGCCTCCTCTCAGCTGGCACTCGTGACCTGGAGGGAGTGTTTATTCCGACCCCTCAACAAACAGGTGTGCAGTTTTCCTTCTTAAAGAAACAGCGCAGTGATTAAAATTCTGAATTCTGCATGTTTACTGAAGCGAACCTCTGTCCCCGTCAGGTAACAAACGCCGTTCTGAAGCTGATAGAGAGAGAGAGGAACGGTGAGACCATCAACACCCGGCTCATCAGCGGTGTTGTCCAGTCTTATGGTAGGTCCTCGAGTGCAACGGAGGAGTAACAATGATCAGACACAGAGCTGTGGGTAACTCTCAGGCTAATGTGAGATTCTTTGTTTGGTGGGAGCTCTGAACAGAAGCTGTGGAGACTCTGAGCATGTGTTGGGTTTAACAGTGCAGTGGTTTCACCTGTCTCACTTATATAAATAAATGAAATGTAGCCATGCACCAGCTGTGAGGATGCTGCAGTCTGCACACGTGTTCACAGGAGCTGAAAATCTGACTAATTAAACCCAGCTGGAGATTTTTCTGACTGATTTTTGTTGAATGATTTGAATGATTTCAGAGTTAGTAACCTAACATCTGTTCTGCAAAGGTCACACGTACATTATGTTTAAGATTTAACATGAAAGGATCGTTTCAGACTAAATTCGATGTGTAGACACTTTTGTTTTGGGTGTATTAACAGGGATGTGGATGTTTCCGTGTCGACCAGCTTTCATTAATCCCACCTCTGTCCTCCTGCAGTCGAGCTGGGCCTGAACGAGGAGGACGCCTTCGCCAAAGGCCCCACGCTGTCCGTGTACAAAGAGTACTTCGAATGTCAGTTCCTCACTGACACAGAACGTTTCTACACGCGCGAGAGCACCGAGTTCCTGCAGCAGAACCCCGTCACAGAGTACATGAAGAAGGTAGGTGCAGCTGCAAACAGCTGCAAACAGCTGCAAACAGCTGCAAACAGCTGCGGGTGAACGAGCAGAGACACGCGGAGCTTTTAACGCTGAGTCGTGACCAGAGTCTGTCTGCGTGTGCGTTTCCTCAGGCGGAGGCCCGTCTCCTGGAGGAGCAGCGGCGCGTGCAGGTTTACCTCCATGAATCCACCCAGGACGAACTGGCCCGAAAGTGCGAGCAAGTGCTCATCGAGAAGCATCTGGAGATCTTCCACACGGAGTTTCAGAACCTCCTGGACGCTGACAAGAACGAAGGTAACCGTTTGTCTCCACCTGGTTTGGGCTTTTTGGGGTCGTCGGTTTACCTGCTAGATGGAGAGACGGCACCAATATTTTTGCAGCTCTGAACCCCAATGCACGCTTAAAAGGAACTTTAACCGTTTGGACTCTGGTGTGTGTGAACTTTTCGAACTTTTCCTGATAACTCGAAGCTTTTATCTGCAGTAACGATGACCTGGTGTTTCACAGATGCAGCTTTGTCTCTGTGTTTCAGACCTGGGCAGGATGTACAACCTGGTGTCGCGGATCACAGACGGTCTGGGTGAGCTGAAGAAGCTTCTAGAGACCCACATCCACAACCAGGGCCTGGCCGCCATTGAGAAGTGCGGCGAGGCAGCGCTCAACGTACGCAGGACTTTTGTTTTTC